AAACCATCCTTTATACCACTCAGTAAGTTTCCTCAAACATTTCTTACAAATCCTTCAAAACTTAGAATTTACCTATGCAAAATTCCTACTGTGATCACAGAAACTTTGATAGTGTAAACCATCCTTTATAACACTCAGTAAGTTTCCTCAAACATTTCTTACAAATTCTTCAAAACTTAGAATTTACCTTTGCAAAATTCCTACTGTGATCACAGAAACTTTGATAGTGTAAACCATCCTTTATAACACTGAGTCAGTTTCCTCAAACATTTCTTACAAATTCTTCAAAACTTAGAATTTACCTTTGCAAAATTCCTACTGTGATCACAGAAACTTTGATAGTGTAAACCATCCTTTATAACACTCAGTAAGTTTCCTCAAACATTTCTTACAAATCCTTCAAACTTAGAATTTACCAATGCAAAATTCCTACTGTGATCACAGAAACTTTGATAGTGTAAACCATCCTTTATAACACTCAGTAAGTTTCCTCAAACATTTCTTACAAATCCTTCAAAACTTAGAATTTACCAATGCAAAATTCCTACTGTGATCACAGAAACTTTGATAGTGTAAACCATCCTTTATAACACTCAATAAGTTTCCTAAAACATTTCTTACAAATCATTCAAAACTTAGAATTTACCTTTGCAAAATTCCTACTGTGATCACAGAAACTTTGATAGTGTAAACCATCCTTTATAACACTCCGTAAGTTTCCTCAAACATTTCTTACAAATCATTCAAAACTTAGAATTTACCGATACAAAATTCCTAGTGTGATCACAGAAACTTTGATAATGTAAACCATCCTTAAGTTAAGACTTAATTATATACAGGATTGGATTTATTGTTGCAGGTGTGCTAGGCATCAAAATTTATGGCTTTCTCCAGAATTTAATGAACATTTCTTTAAATTTTTATTTTTGTACAGGAACAAATGATGCGCAAGAAAGCTGTGCAGAATCTTGATTCTCGACAGAAAACCATGATTGACAATGCATTTTACTACACCAATCCACCTGACAGACCGAAGGTACATGATTGAAGCGTTTCTAAAAAATCAAGCTACAGTATCCTTCCTGACGTTTATACTACAAGACTTCCTTTGATTTCTAGGTGACTAAAAAAGAAAGACCCCCGATGCAGGAATATGTCCGAAAATTAATCTATAAGGATTTATCAAAAACAACCACAGAAAAGGTACAGACATAATGGAGATAAGTTGATGGAAGTTTCGAGTGGAATTTTTATACATTCATTAGACCTAACCAGGAAGAGCATGGCCGGATTTTTAGGGGAGGTGCGCCTTCCCCTGAGATCGTTTTGCACCTCCCCTGAGAATTTTTTTACCGCCCCTGAAAAGTCATGCACCTCCTCTTTGGAAAGTTTCAATAATAGATCAAAGTGAAAATTTGACATTTTTTGGGTCTACACTTCGTAAGAACGTTTTTCTGTAAAATTGAAACCGTGATAGCCATTCATCCCTGTGTCAAATACCCTTTTAATGCCATGTTTTGAGAGAAACTTTGTAGTAATTGTAATGAAGGGTAAAATTGGATGAGTTGTACAGTCGTAATTCATTAATACACATTCATTAATACACGTGTGGTTAAAGCTCGACAACTGTCTCTCTGTCAGTTGGTTAGAGCGCTGCACCGGAATCGCAGAGCCACAGATTCGATTCCTGCCAGAGCGCCGATAGTTGCTCCTCGCAAGTATTACTAAACATTGTTTAATTCTAGGTCTTACGTCAACTTCGAAAGTTACCTTGGGATGAAGAAGAGGTAAGTTATAGCAAACCCTCACGAGGAAAATAGACAGCAACTACACACGCAAAAATCTCACATCTTGTATAGCACGTCTGCCAACAAGCCGTCAACAAGTTGTGTTCGCACTGCTTGTCCCAAGTTGTGAACAAGTGTAGAACAACTTGTTAACAATAGTTTTGTTTGTGGAAACACCACGTAAATTTGTTACTGCAAAGCTTTCGATCCGTAAGCCCTAATCTTCATCAGTGCTAATATTCTGACATATTATTAGCACTGATGAAGATCCGGGCTTACGGATCAAAAGCTTTGCAGTAATAAATTTACGTGGTGTTTCCACAAACAAAACTATTATATTTTATCGCCATACAAAGAAGTTATAACTTGTTAACAGTTGTAGCAACCTTGTTGATATTATCAGACTTGTTGCAGGGTTGTTCCAACAAGTCCAATGTAAGTCGTGATATAACAATATTGCTACAACCTAGTGTCGTCAACCTTGTAACTTTCTTGTTATCATGATTGTATCAGACGTGTTAGAACAACCTTGTAACAAGTCTGATAATGCCATCAAGCTTGTTACAAGTTGTTAACAACTTGTTCAAAACTTGTTACAACAACTGGGAACAAGTAACAATTTGTTTGCTAAACTTAATTAATTTGTTCCATTGTCTTTTCATCGTTTTGAAAATCCTACTTTTGTCAATGTCATTCAGTCGCCTATTGTTTAAACGTATTTGTAGCATTCTGAAAAGTGCTTAATACAAGCGTCTTGTTCTTTTTAGATTTGCTCGTACGTTGTGCGATGTCTCATTCGTTCTTGGAATGTCAAGTACAGCAACATTCACTGTGCTGCTAATTTACTGGCAGGATTGACACCCTATCATGTGAGTACACCTGCCTTTCAGAGTTAAAAGCACTGGGTTTTGTCCAGTTTACTCATTTACGTCTTCGTCTCCTAGGAGCATGTGGGGATAGAAGTGGTTGATGGTGTATTAGAAGAGATACGTGTTGGAATGGAGGTACACAGATACAAGTACATATCATGAAATTTAATATTTCAAAAAATGGATACTGGTGAAAATATTGTTAATTCTTGTCATATGTAGTGGTCTTGTGTTTGGAAACAAATAACAAAATCGAGAGGTGTAGTTGAATTCGCTTGCTCAAATATAAACTGTGAAACAGTTCACCACAAAATGTTTGCCAAATATAGGAGAGGGGGCGAATTTAGGTTGCTACCATATAACCAGCTTATACTTTTTGTGCCTTAAATTTCATGCATCATTAGTTGAAAAATTATTGTTACAGCTTTCTTCAACAGTTGTTTAGATATCATTCAGAAATTATTAATGCTTTCAGAAATTATTGGGGGAGGGGTGGCGGTTGCCCCCACCCCTCGCCCCCTTAGTGTCCGCGACTGATTGACCACCATTTGCTATCCCGTATCGCTTACTAACACCCCCTCCCCCAAATTATTTTATGTTAGATCAACATTCCAAAGATGAACCAGTGTCGCATTAGTTGTGTGAAATACCTCGGAGAGCTGTATAATTATCAGTTGATTGAGTCGAATGTCATCTTCACAGTGTTGTATTCCTTCATCACTTTTGGAAACTCCGATGATGGTAAGCTATTCAATAGACCTTATGAGTGACATTTTGATCTAGATATGCCTGGACAAAAATTTCATCACAGCTTGAAAGAGCATCACAAAATTAGTAATATTCCCAAGTTTCGTTGCGAAATGTTGTAAAATGCGGATAATATAGCCTTGCGAAGTTTGCCGTTTTTCAGTCATTTCGTATTACCCGTTTGTAATAATAATTTGTAAATTGGTAATCAGTTTGATCATCTGATTATCAATTTCCCGTTTGTAATGCAAAATGACTGAAAAACGGCAAACTTATCTTTGTAGTGAAAATCTCACAACTTGTCAACAAGATGTGTTCGCAACAGGCTTGTAGCAAGCTTGTCAACAAGTTGTAACAACGCCGTTATTTTATATATCAAGTTGCTACAAGGTTGTCACTCACAACTTGTTGTCAAATCGTTGAACTGCAGGACGATAACAAGTTGTTGGAACAACTTGTAGCAAGTCTGTTGAGCTCAACAACCTTGTAGCAAGTTGTCAACAAGTTGGGAACAAGCAGTGCGAACACATCCTGTTGACAAGTTGTTGGAACAGCATTGCTACAAGTCTGCTGCAGGTTTGTTACAACTTGAGGTTTTTACTTGTGTTTTGTGATCAGTATCCGAGATCCATGTCAAGATTTTGGATGTTTTTCTGTAGGTTCGCCTTCTACCTTGGACCCACCAGAACATCTGTTTCGTATTCGTTTGGTCTGTATTCTGCTTGATACCTGTGGACAGTATTTTGATCGTGGAAGTTTGAAACGTAAACTGGATTGTTTCTTAGTTTACTTTCAGGTATCTTTAATGCACGTCTTTTATTATTTTGTTCACTGTAGTGTCTTTTCTGAACTTTTACTGAACCGTACTGTACAACAGTACTGTACTTTTACCATACTGTATCGTATCTAACCATACCATATCATACCATATACCATACCATATACATTATACCATATTATACATTACCATACCATACATTACCGTACCATACCATACCATACCATACCATACATTACCATATCATATCATACAGTAGCACACAATTCCATATCATACCAAAACCAAAATATATCAAACAATATACCATATCATACCAAACCATGCTATCATACTATACGTAACCATACTATACATACCATACCGCATATATACATACCATACCGCAGCAAACCGTACCATAATGCTATACCAATCTAAACCAAACCATACCACACTATACCATACGATACGATACTATACCATACCATACCATACCACACTATACCATACCATACCACACTACCATACCATACCATACCATACCACACCATACCATACCACACTATACCATACCATACCATACCATACCATACCATACCATACCATACCATACCATACCACACTATACCATACGATACTATACCATACCATGCTATACCATACCATACAATACATACCAGCCACCCTGTACTACACTGCACTATACTGTACAGTACAATACCACTAACCACTGTACATCAATATTCCAGGCGTACATATGGAAAAAGAAATCAAATGGTGTTTGGAATGAAGATTGTCCATTTCCTAAGGAAGTTGAATACATGGTTGCCGACACACTGGAGTCATTGCGACCTAAACTTAAACTTCACAATTCTTTGGAAGAAGCCACGAAGGCCGTGGAGGAGCTTAACCTCGAATATCAACAGAAAATAGGTAATGATTTTGTATTGCTTGAGAAAACTCTGGTATAAAGTTACTTTAGTTCAGGTTTCCTCTTGTAGTAACACTGGACCTCTAAGGAGAACAGTGCAGAACTGATAGAGCTATCCAGTATAAATAAAGTTAGTTTAGTTAGGTTTCCTCCTGTAGCTAGCACTGGATCCATAAGAAATGATCCTTACTGGATCTCCAAGGAGAGCAGTTTAGAACTGACAGAGCTATCAAGTATAAAAAAAAGTTAGTTTAGTTAGGTTTCCTCCTGTAGTGGCTTCGGATCAATAAGAAATGATCCTTATTGGATCTCTAGGGAGAACAGTTTAGAACTGATAGAGCTATCTAATAAAAACAAAGTTAGTTTAGCTTAGGTTTTCTCTTGTTGTAACACTGGATCTTTGGTGACAACAGTGTAGAACTGATAGAGCAGTCCCGTTTTAATAGAGTTAGTTTCGTTTAGGTTCCATTCTGTAGTGAGACTAGACTTCTGAGAGAACAGTTCAGAACTGATAGAGCGAGCTATCCAGTATTAATAAATTAGTTTAGTGTAGACTTCCTTGTGTTGCAGTAAGAACAGTTTAGAACTGATACAATTATCCAGTCAGATAGCTTAGAATAAATCCCTGAAAATACACTTCACAGGGTATGAGTAGTGAGTAGTTTTAATCCGAAAAAGGATTTCTATTTAACAGTTACACTTAGCCCTTTCCTCATTTCTTACCTGCGAACGGGCATGCTCTAGGAATCATTAATACAGCCTGCGGAGGTGGCCCTTTTCCGTATCACCATGTTAAGCTTGCAATTTTCTCTTATCCCAGACGAGGCGGTCAAAGTCGTTGCAACGGAGAACAAGCCTGCGTCAGCTCCCGTCCAGTTGCCGCTGAACACCAACAACTACGGACCTCAATCCTATCCCCAGTCCCCGGCCGATCGCGACGAAGAGGAGAGCGAGACTGGGGAGAGTGATATGGAAGTTGAAGAAAGAAATCCAGGGGGCGAGGGGAACAAGCGTAAACGAGGGGGGGATTCATTAACTCTGGATGAAGAGGAAGTGTCTGAGATCGATTCTGAACAAGAAGGAGAAGATCAGGTATGCTGTCTTATCTTGTAGTGAAAGTCTCGCAGTGAAAATCTCGCAGTAAAAATGTTTCATATTGTAGCAAGTCTGCCAACAAACCGTCAACAAGTTGTGTTCGCACTGCTTATCCTAAGTTGTCAACAAGTTTGGAACAAGCTGTTAACAATTTGTAAAAACCATGTTGATATTATCAAATTTGTTGCAAGGTTGTTCCAGCACGTCCGATACAGTCATGATATAACAATATTGTTACAGCCTTATGTCGTCAACCTTGTAAAATTCTTGTTATATCATGACGGTATCAGCCTTGTTAGAACAACCTTGATAATGCCATCAAGCTTGTTATAAGTTGTTAACAGCTTTTTCCAAACTTGTTTGAACAACTGGGACCAATTAAGTTGTTACAGTTCTGCAAACAAGTTGTTGCAAATCTGTTCACAAGCTGTCGACAAGTCTTTTATTCGCACTGCTTGTTCCCAGTTGTTGTAACAAGTTTGGAACAAGCTGTTAACAACTTGTTACAAGCTTGTTGGCATTATCAAGCTGGTTACAAGATTGTTCTAACAAGTCTCGATACAGTCATGATATAACAAGAATGTTACAAGGATGACAACAAAGACAAAGTTGTAACAATATTGTTATACCATGACTGCATCGGACTTTTTGGAACAACCTGGCAACAAGTCCGATAATGTCAACAAGGTTGTTACAAGTTGTTAACAGCTTGTTCCAAACTTGTTGACAACTTGGGACAAGCAGTGCGAACACAACTTGTTGACGGCTGGTTAGCAGACTTGCTACAAGATGTGAGATTTTTACGTGTGTAGTTCGAACACAAGTTGTTGATAACTTGTGAAAAGGTTTGTAACAACTTTTGGGTTTTTACGTGTGTAGACAGATAAATTTTCTTTGACATTTATAACACACCATTGTACACACGTAAAAATATAGACTTGTAACAAACCTGCAGCAAACTTGTAGCAATGCTGTTCCAACAACTTGTCAACAGGATGTGTTCGCACTGCTTGTTCCCAGCTTGTTGACAACTTGCTACAAGGTTGTTGAGCTCAACAGACTTGTTACAAGTTGTTCCAACAACTTATTATCGTCCTACAATTCAACAAGTTGTGAGTGACAACCTTGTAGCAACTCGATAAAATAACAGCATCATTACAACTTGTTGACAACTTGCTACAAGGTTGTGGCGCTCTGACAGCAGACTTGTTACAAGTTGTTCCAACAACTTGTTATCGTCCTACAATTCAACAAGTTGTCAACAAGATGTGCGTGACAACCTTGTAGCAACTTGATAAAATAACAGCATTGTTACAACTTGTTGACAAGCTTGCTACAAGCCTGTTGCGAACATATCTTGTTGACAACTTGCTACAAGGTTGTTAAGCTTAACAGACTTATACAAGTTGTTCCAACAACTTGTTATCGTCCTGTAATCCAATAATTTGTCAACAAATTGTGTGTGTCACCTTGTAGCAACTCGATAAAATAACAGCATTGTTACAACTTGTTGATAAGCTTGCTACAAGGCGAACACACAACTTGTAATAAGTCTGTTAAGCTCAACAATCTTGTAGCAAGTTGTCAACAAGATGTGTTCGCAACAGGCTTGTAGCAAGCTTGTCAACAAGTTGTAACAATGCTGTTATTCTATCACGTTGCTACAAGGTTGTCACTCACAACTTGTTGACAAGTTGTTGAATTGCAGGACGACAACAAGTTTAACAAGTCTGTCAAGCTCAACGACCTCGTAGCAAGTTGTCAACAAGATGTGGTCGACAGGCTTGTAGCAACTTGATAAAATAACAGCATTGTTACAACTTGTTGACAAACTTGCTACAAGCCTGTTGCGAACACATCTTGTTGACAAGTTGTGAGATTTTTACATGTGTAATAGACGCTTGTTCATTATCTCGTAGGTGAAAGGCATAGGTGGTCCAAAACTAGTGCCGTGTGACGAAGACACGGATTTCTTGAATGAATTTCAAAAATTGATCGTTGACGACTACCAAAGTCGGCGCACAGAAAACGTCAAGGTGCCGTCATTTGACGTGGCCGTGCCGATGCAGCTGGGCAAGAAGAAGCCTGGGAACGAGGAAGGAAATCGCGTCAATTTTATGGTGATGTTGAAGAAGGGAAACCGACAACAACTGCGTGATCTCAAGGTTCCGATCAGTTCCGATCTTGCGGCGAACATTCGCGAGAAGCAACAAGAGGAACAGGCCGAGCAGGAAGAAGTCAAGAGACTGGTGCTAGATTATAATCAGAGGCAGGAAGAAGAGACGTATAATGGTAGGAATTTTAAAGTGGCTCTGACACGAAATATGATTGTGGCAGGGATCGAACCTAGCGCTATCCACCGGATAGTGATTTTTCAAGCTTTGTTACTGTCGTTCCAATTGAAGTGTTGCTCAAATATTGATTCAATACATTACCTCGGGCTGACCAATTCATTTCATCAAGTTCCTCGAAATATTCATACACTTCCTAGTATAATTGTAAACTTCCTGTTGAATAGTTTGAATGCACCAATCACCTTTGTTGTTTATGCAACTAACCAATCATAAATAGAAAGGAAGTGACCAGAAATGATCAAATACTTGGAATTGGCTCTTTCACAGGAAGTGTATGAATATCTCGAGGAACTTGATGAAATGAATTGGTCAGCCCGAGGTAATGTATTGAATCAATGTTTGAGCAACACTTCAATTGGAACGACAGTAAATCAGTCGTTGATTGGTATAACTCGTATTAAAGTTTAGTATTTATAAGTTAAATGTTTTTTATACATCTTGTGTCGTCTATATCCGTAGTTTCACAGTTTTTCAAGCATTTTACAAAGGTTGAAAAAATCACTATTCGGTGGATAGCGCTATCCGACCTTCGTACAATCGTCCCCAGAAAGCTAGAAAGAGCGTCTTAGAATGATTAAAACTGCAAATATTGGTTGCTAAATGTTGTAAAATGAACAAAATATAGCCCTGTGAAGTTTTGTATATATTTGTATATATTTGTATTACGTGCGGTAAAAATAACCACTTTCGGCTCAGAACCTATTTGAGAACCTGTTTAGCCTAATTTCCTGGTAAGCATGGAAAATCTAGGTTCTTATATACGGGCTTTTACTGTAGCTTGACCTATTGCTATGGCTAGCTTTCGCCACTGGTCAGAGCATTGCATCGTGGCCACTGTATGGTACTGCTACATTAGATTTTGGGTATCTCTATATCTAAACATGTTGTTCATATCTTCCTTCAGAGCTGATGGCGAAACCGCGTCAATCGTCGCCTGGCAACCGCTACCATGGTCGCCGTGAGAACAAACCAAAACCGACGAGGTATCGTGAAGCTGAGCAAGGATTCTTTATGAATAAGTAAGTACATGTAGCGGTCTATTTTAAGGCTCCCATGAAATATTAGGGCTCAGAACGAACCCCCCCCCCCCCCCCCCCCC